GCCCGGACTGGGAATAGAACTGGCAACACTTCACTGCATGGGATGGTGCCCAACCAACTGAGCCACACTAGCCAGGGCTGTAAGGTGTTTTTTTAAAAACTACTGGACAGTCATTGTATTTAAACAATGGTTGTGTGGCTGTTAAAATAATGTGTAATCATGTACCATATAATGTTTCGGTCAACAATAGATCATAAGTACGACAATGGTCCCATAAAATTCTAATGGAGCAGAATTTCCTGTAAGAAATGAAAGAATGTGTGGCTCAGGAGGGATTATTTTTCCTCAGATGGGCCCAGTATCTGTGGGGCTTGGCAATAGATTCCCTGTTACTGACAGAACCTCAATTTAAAAAAAATCATTCAGTCATTTTTTATTGATTAATTATGTGGAGAGAGATTGAGAAAGAGAGATAGAGAGAGAGAGAGAGAGAGAGAGAGAGAGGAGAGAAACATCAATTTGCTGTTCCACTTAGTTATGGTGATTCTTGTATGTGCCCTGACTGGGGATCAAACCCACAACCTTGGTGTATGATCTAACCAGCTGAGCTACCAGGCCAGGGCCATGGAACCTCAATTTTGAGTGCACAGATTATATCCCAATCAGTCAGGCACTGGCCTGATTCAGCACAGAGGAGCCTGTTCCCCCTGTTCCAGCGCTACATATTTAGAGGGTGCTATAGTCCTCCCAAATGTAGGTTTATAGTCTTCAGAGTACTTTGCTATAAATTCTTTGTTGGCAACCTAAGATCCTGTAAAATGACACAGTTCTCTGGGAGCCATCTTAAATATTAAGTGCCACTGTCACTTTAGTGAAAATTTTCTGTGACAGTATGGAGGCAGCCTGTCCCTGTACTTTGGGAATATTTTCAGGTTATAATGATGTAAACATAGATAAATTTTGTCAGAGTCCTTTATGTCAGAAGAATTCAATGGAACTAAAAATATTGAGTCCTCAGTTCTATATCCTCTCCATATTAAACATGCTCTTTTAAAAACAGAGTATCACAAAGTTCCTTAATATGACCACTACTCCAACATGCAGTCGCCATGACTATCCCCTGTGCTCCTGTATCATTTCATCTTGACTTTTTATTCCTGCTTACCCTCAGGCCACCTTTCAGTCCCTCCTGGTAGTCACTATTATGGTGATTTACACCTTGCCAAGCCAGTTTCTCCTTGATAATTTCAGTCAATCCAACCTACATTCCTGTTCATGGAGTAGCACTGGCAGCTTTCTTGTTCTGTTTCTGATCAGTAGTGGGGAGGGCTTGTGGGACAGTGTTTATAAAGCCTATAGTAGTGAATGCCCTAGGCCTCACATTCACCCACCACCACACACGAGAGCAGCTTTCAGTTCTGTAAACTCTGTTCATGGTAAGTGCTCTATACAGGTGTACCATTTTAAAATATTTTATATGGTATATTTACCTTTTTAATGTTTAGATAAATGCTTACCTTTGTGTTATAATTCCCTATAGTATTCAGTACAGTAATATGCTGTACAGGCTTGTAGAGTAGGAGCAATAGAATATACTGCATAGCCTAGGTGTGTACTAGACTATCTATTGTCTAGGTTTGTATAAGTGTACTCTGTGATGTTCACACATGATCAAATCACCCGAAGACACATTTCTGCAAACATATCCCTGTCGTTAAGTGAAGCATGACTGCATATAGTTTGATATTAGAATTATAATGTATAAGGTACACATTCTGCTGTGTCAGGAGAATTTGAGTAGTCAAAAATATTTGTGAGACTAATGTAACTTGTATCAAAGTGTTTGTAAATTACTGAAGCTTTCTGATGTTCAAAGCTATTTAAATGAAATAGCTAAAAAATATAGCATAAAAGAGAACATCATTATGATAGTGTTTTTGATGTTATAACTATTTAGTCTAACATTAACCTTTTTTCCCCATTAGTGAGAGAGCAGCAGTAGATGCTTCTTATATCGACGAGATAGAAGGACTCTTCAAAGAAGCCAATACTATTGAAAACTTTCTAGTACAGAAAAGAGAGCTCCTGAGACAGAGATTTACAGTTATTGCAAATACACTACACAGTTAAAAGTTGTGTACTTAAAATAAGCTGATAATTTAAACCCATTATTGTTGTAAGGAAAGAATGACATTTGTGCTCTGAAAGCTGTAGAAAATGTATACCTTAAACATAGAAGGGGAAACACCTTGAATTTCTTTTCTAGACTTAAAGGGAGCTTTAAACTGGATATTAATACCTTTTCTTTTGAGAGTCAACTCTTTGGTGTAGTTTATAAAAGTGTAAGTTATTTAAATTATTATTGATTCTTTTTTTTTTTTAAACTCCTAGTCTTCAACTTCTAAAAGAGGATGCAATGAGTTAATTTGACAATGTCTAACAATATTGTACTTTTGGGGGGAATATTTTATTTAAGTAGAAGATGGCATTGGAGATAGTTTTAAAATGTTTTTCATGGTTAATATTATAAAAAAATTAAAACCTAAATGTGATTTGTCCACTTTCTCAATATGTAGAAAACTATATGTGCTCTTGCTATTTAATATAATCATTTGATTATTTCACTATTAGTTATTATACATGATTAATAAAAGATTTTTGTTTAAAATTATTTTCTTGTGCTAAAATAAAAATCAGAAATAACCATACCTTATATGAGTTGGCTTTTTAAAAAAATATTATTTTATTGATTTTTTACAGAGAGGAAGGGAGAGGGATAGAGAGTTAGAAACATCGATCAGCTGCCTCCTGCACACTCCCTACTGGGGATGTGCCCACAACCAAGGTACATGCCCTTGACAGGAATGGAACCTGGGACCCTTGAGTCCGCAGGCTGACACTCTATCCACTGAACCAAACCGGTTAGGGCGAGTTGGCTTTTTTTATACAACCATATTGATGAATTGTACTTAGTAGAAGCATTAGCAGTTGTGTGGTATGGGATAAAATTAGTGATCCAAACGTAAAGAGATTGGGTAAACAACAAGGTGACCGTTGAGTCATTTCAATCCTATTATAATTCAGAAATTGAATTTGGACTAGCAGATCTCTAATACTTATCTAGCTAAAAAAATTTCTCCCTTTATTGGAAGGTACTGCTATGATTTTATTACAAATGTCTAATATGTTATATAATTATATGTCATGACTATATTAATCAGATTTTTAATAATCATAGCATACACTTTAAAAACATAAAGATAATTTAATCTATTGTATACATACTTTGCTGATATAAGCAATCACAAATTTGGACATATTTATAAGCAATACCACAAGGAATTTGATATTTTTTAGGTGGTTAGCATGTTTACCTTGCTGCCTTTTAAATGTTAAAATAAAATCTCATTTCATGAAATGACTATTTGAAGGTATATATACTTGCCATATAGCATAAATACTCATAGAAGGAAGGATTAAAAACAGTAAGAACATTTTCTAAAAATATTGTTTATTATGAAGTAGAAAAATTATTAGGTTTCTATAGGGGTACACTAATGGAGGTCAATGAATTAACTAATAGAAATGGGATTTTTAAATATTAAATGCAGCCAGAAGACTATATTTGAATTGATATGCCTTATCATCTGGATTTTGAATTATTCTGTTACAGAGTTCTTGAATGTTCTAAATACAAAGATGACTACACTGGCCCATCACTAGAAGTCTTGAGTTATTTCTTTCCTAAGCATTTATTATTAATGTGAAAGCCAAGGCTCACAGAATGTTTCAGAACAGATATCATAATATACTTGTTATATCTTGATGGTGTTACCATTGTTTAGCATCTGATTCTTCCCTGTGCAGAATTGATTTGATTTGATTATTTGGTATGATTAAGACTGAAACTGTAAGGACACATATGAAATACCCTGATAAAGGAAAAAAAATTAAAAAAAAATAAAACTGGGGGGGAAAAAAGACTGGAACTGATTTTTAGTGAAAAAATGTGTTTACTGGTCAGAACAAAAGGCAAAAGTTCCCGAATGCCTAATTAAGGCTTATTTTTTTAAATCAAATTTTGATGTCTTTGGTACCATCCACATAAACAAGAATAATTATCTCACCTCTGGAGATATGCTGTTGTAGGCATACCATTGCCCTTTAATTTACACTTCTAATATTTCAATAAAATTTTGCAAGTTCATACTTTTCACTGATTATAAGCCAAAATATATATTGAATATCTTTGTGCATCATATTGTGCTAGGCACTGTGGGAAATACAGAATAGTTTAAGATACTGTTTTTTCTCCCTTCTGACAATTTTAACCACTCCTTTCTTGAAATACACTTACATACCTTTGCTGGGAAAACATGATATGTAAATGTTAAAAGTATCTCTGTGGCAGTGGTAGCAACTCCTAGTGGGAGCAAGAGGGTCAGAGGGGTAAGTTTTGAAATGGGTTTTTGTAAAGGAAAGAAGGAGGATATTTCAGGCAGGGGAAAGTTTGTTCAAAGGCCCAGAAGAACAAAAATGTGGTATATTTAGAGTTATTTTATTGGACTGAGAATTTACAAAGGGGAATAAAGTAGAAACTGCTAGAGAGTAGGGATTAAATTTTGTTTCTTGGTATCCTCAATTTGTAGCACAGTATTTGATACAATGGTGCTCAAAAATGTTTATCAAATTAACAAAATTATGTATGGTTATAACTTTTTAAAAAGGACATACCTTCACAGGGCTTTATTTATACTAGATCATGAGAAAATGCTTTGTAAATTAAATGAATTCAAAAGAAAAGGAAGAATGAAATGCTAGAAAGGCAGAGAGACAAAGGATTAAAGGTAGGTTGTGGCCAGATTGTAGAGGTCCCTTGTGGACTGATTACATTTGGACTTTATTCTGTAAGGAAAGAGGAGATCTGAATCTTCCAGAGGAGAGGAGTGGCTTAATGAAATCCATTCCTGGATTAACTGCTTAATTATAGTGCAAGGACAGATTTGAAAAGGAGAGTTAGGGAGGGAGACCAGTATTTCAAACAGCTGCTTAGTATAGATAGGTTGTTGGGATACTTGTCTTGGAATTGAGCGGAAGAGAGATTGCCTGTGTTTTGAAGCCTTGCCTCTGTCCCCGCCCCCCAACTTTCCCTCCTATTCTGTCAGTGAGCCAGGGACAGTCCAGGAAGCGTTTTTTGCCACACTGCTAATGAGTGAGAGGATTTGGAAACCACAGGATCTGCTGCTACTTAACAATATAAAAATATTTTTTCAACTCTTTCTCCATTTCGTCAGCAATCTTCCATTGCAGTGGGTTTCAGATCTGTGATAGTACATTGGAACCCAGGTAGGAGATTTACTGCCCCCTCCTCTTCCTTCCAGCAGGAACGTAGAACTCTGTGCCTTTTCTGAAGAATACTGGCAGCTTCTAAAGTTTTCCACTCTTTTTGGAGCAGATACAGGCAGCAAGTGCAGAGCTGGGAGTTAAGACAGAGTCAGGATTTGTTTACTTGTCAGGGAAACAGCCTTTCCATTTGTATGTTTTATATGACATATAGGGACAGGATTCAGGGTTTCAGGATTCTCTTGAATCTGTAATAGGAAGACTGTTCACTATTTAGACCTTTCTCAATTGAAAATCACTGCTATATCCTCTAATGTAAATGTTTGGTTCTTTTATCTGCATTCTGGGGAATCCCTTAAAACCTTTGTTATTGTTTTTCTAGCTTTCTATTATAGTTACTATTGTTACATGCCTTTATTTCTTGAAATTGGCTGGTATGGAGCTATGAAAATATTACTGATGTGCACTATACATTTTAAAATTATTTAATTCAATGCAAGCCAATGTATTAGGTGTGGGAATGAAGGCAAAATCAAGACCCTATACCGGGGTGGGCAACCCCTGGCACGCGTGCCAAACATGGCATGCCAGTAACTTTTGCTGGCATGCAAAACCCTCTATTATAATCTTCCATTTACAATTTTTGTGAACATTTGAATGACTTAAATGTTAAGTTACAAGGAACTGGCAAGACACTTGATGTTATGTTTGGTTACATAAAGGCTTTTGAAAAGAAACTGGAAGCCTTTAAGAGGGATATGGATGGTGAGAGATTTAGATATTTCCCAAACCTCAAGAGTCACATCAAAGACCTCCCACAAGATGACAGAACAGACTATCAAAGCCT